ATCAATTGTTTTTGAGAGTAGTGAAATAATCTTTGAAAAAGTCGAAAAAATTAATCTAGACGAAACTTGTGTGCCGAAATTTCGGGTGAACATACTTGTTCATTTAGGCTCTATTGAAGCGTTCCAGACGAGTTAAGAATTATAGGTCAGCATTAGAATTTTGTACATTTTTTAAAAATGATCTTGGAAATATTGTATCTGCTTTTGTTCAAGAGTACTGAAGGGTTTTTTAAAAGACTTAAAAAATTACTGTTAATAGGAGTCAACAGAGTTTTTATTTATCCTATAAGCCCTTTTTCAAACATGCTAAAAATTGTTGAAGTCGATCGTTGTGGAGAGCGGATACTTTTCTACCAAATGTGATATTGAATTAGGCTGTAGCTTTTACCAAAATAAAGCTAAAAGCATTTTTTTCAAGAGCTGCTTTCTAAGTAAAACGATTGTCAATTTTTCAAAGACGAGTATTTAGGTAAAACGAAAATTGATGTACCTTGTCGAAAGACACAAGCAGAATTTCAAATAGTGCATTTTATAGCGCAGCTTCTAATCTACAAACTGACATATAAATGAAGATTTTAACCTTTTAGTTTCTAGTCGCAACAGTGAAAACACAAAAATTTTCCGTCAACGTTAATTTTCTCGGCTTTTCAAAAATTGTTTCACTACTCTCGAACAAAAACCGATTAAAAAAAGGCTAATCTCATATTGAAAAAGAGCACAAAATTCAAGTCCTAAGTTATGGCTTGTGGGCTCGTCGGAAATGTTATTTAGCTAGTCAAATATGAACAAACATTTTGTCTGAGAACCTTCCGATCACTTATTAAAATGAAGACTGACTCGTAAAGTAAGATAGTGGACTACAGTCAAAAATATGTTAACCAGCATTCTCAACATTCAAACTTGTTAGCTGGAATTGACCGTACATGATAAAATATTCTATATGTATCCTAGATCGAAATATGAAAATACTTCTCTTCCACAACCTTTTGTGCACCTAATAAAACATAATCTCTGTCATTCTTGTGATATTTATCAAGTCCCATGTACAAGTGTACTCTGTAGATAAAGGTCCAGAATTGGCAGGTATCATTTTACATTCAAAGTAGATTCCAATTGTTCTGCGTTATTTCTAAATGATCTCATGGATAGTAGGTTTATGCCTCTGAAAATAAACTCCACGATATCGAAATCCATACTTTTTAGCAAAAAAAATATTTTTGTCGGCAAATCTGAACATATCACTGCATATCAACGTCTAGTCAGATATATCTATACCTAATATACATAAACTCTCAGCTGTTGTTTTTTTTCTGTCCGTTGACTCGAAAACCATTCGAAATTATTCTAGACAATTCAAACAGATAAACTCACATGATACCATTATTTATTTAAATAAAAAGATTATTTCCCAAGCAAATTCCAATAGTAATCTGACAAGTCATTCCGATAAATTTTCTTTTTATTGAAGTTTTTTGTTTTTCTTTTGCTTGCTTTCAACATATAGATCATCACACGTTTCTTTGGACGAAAAGCACAACAACACTTATAAAGGAATAAGTTCAGCCAATAATAATCACAATATACAAATGGATAAAAATGCACACGTACACGTACATAATTCTTTTTTGTTTTCCGAAGAAAAAAATTAGCATGATCTACTTAATATATATCTATAAATGTCCTTTTTGTTTTGTTCTTCTATGAATCATTCATCAGCCTGAACAATGTTCACTGTTATGTACTATGTGCGAAGGTTCTCCAAGCGAGAAAAAAAAGTAATAAAAAGATAAGGGACAAACAAACACGCATAAAGACTTAAATAGTAAAACTAGTAGAAACAAGTGCAAGAGGAAATTATAGAATCAACAAAAATTAGCAAGAAAAATCAGTTTTTATTTGTTTTTTTTTCTTCATTCTCATTTTATGCTTCTTTTCTTTGGTATCGAAATTTACAAACGATCAATTAAATCATGTTTTTGTTTCATTGACATTTGTTGATCTTGACGTGGATCACGTTTACGAGCCTGTTGAGCTTTTAATTGTTCTCGATATTCAGCTGCTGACATTTCTATCAACGAAAAACAAAATTTCAACTAAAATTAAAAAAAACCATAAAATTATTAATGCTTACTAAGCTCAAGTGTTCCTTCTGATCCATTAGCTGATGATGATTGAGGTGGACTAGTTTGAGAAATATCACTGTCCATTGGTTTTAAATGAGAATCATATGTAGGAGACTTTGGTGATGAATTACCAACGGAAATAAATTCTTTATGTTTATGTTTGCCTATAGAAGGTGGTGATGATTGTAAATAATTTTCATGATCATTATCTTGATCAGATGTTCTTGATGTTGTTGGTGAACTGCCAGTCTGAATAATATAATATTAGAAAATTTTATAAAATATTCTAAATAATAAATGATTTATTAACATGTATTTTTAATCCTTGATATAGTTTTTCATTATAGAGAAGTTGAAATATATGAAGGGTGATATGATGGTAATAAAAAAGAATTGACATTTTTATTTTTCTTCGCCATCAAGAAAGAACGTTACGGATGCGTTCGATTAAATGACTATGATTTCTCTCGAGATTTAGGATCGAAATTCAATTGTCTTGTTACCTTTAATTTATATTCTATGATATTATTCTTGTATTCTCAATAATGATGATAAACATATAGACTTTGATGGATAATCGAGCAATATTTTTATTGTTTCAAATCTTGTACGGACACAGTTGACTACTAGCTGCCAACTTAATATAATTTACTAACCTAAATTATGCTAAAGGCAATATCTACTACTTTTTTTCTCATCAAAATCAAATGCAAATATTCAAATCCCCAATAAACTGATGAATCATCAAATTCTTCTAACAGATTAAATTTCACACAGAAGATTAATATGGTAGATCAATGAAAGATAAAAAAAATTGCGAATAGTACAACAATTGTGAGTGCCAATCAGAAGTTACTCATAGAACATTCGAATCGAAAGATGAGACAATGATTCATAGTATAAGTGTTATCTGGAAATTGCCTAGGAGAAAGAAGTTAATTACTCGATTGCTAACATTTATGAACATATCATTAATGCTCAACTATTCAAGAAATCTATCTTTCAACCTAAAATCTTAATTATGAATGCATCTTCTCTCAAATTTCCTATCTTTTTTTTCGACGACAATATGAAATTAAGAATGAAGATTTGTATTATCAATCAATCTCGACGTGTTAGAAGTCAATTTCTTTTCTAATGCTTCAGCATAATGTTCAAATATTAACAACAAGAAGTTTTATCAAATTGAATTGATAAAAACAATTACCTCCATTGTATTTTAATGTCTTCAAAAAATAATATATATGGCTTCCAAATATAAACATATTCTCTTTGATCAGCACAAAAAGAAAAAAACAAAGAACAATTGAAAATTAAAAGTCTATCATAACGAAAGCAAATAATAGATAATGTCAAAAAAAAAAAGAAAAACGTTGACATTCTATTCTATTCTATTCTATTCAAACAGTTACCAGTGATGTATTTATTTGAGAGAAAAACAAGTCAAACATATTCTTACTTTAGTTGTTTGTGTAACTGTTGGACCGGTAAAATCAGTAATATGTTTATATTCTCGAATAGGTTCATTTTGTATTATTCTTGGTGATGTTTCTTGAATAATGGGTGAATCTGTCTTACCAATACTTTTAGTTGATGAATGAGGTGATTGATCTCCATTTTCTGATATAAATATATAAAAATAAATGAATATAAATATTTGTTTTCCTTTGTTAAAGTCAAACCTGTTTCATCTCGAATTTCACTTTCGAATTTTTCAACATTTGAATCTGAACTTCGAACAATAATAGATTTATGTTTATAATAAGCATCAGCATCAGGATCAAGTACAAGTAAAATAACTTCTTCAGGATATTTTGTACCATTTCTTGTAACACCTTCTTTTATTCTTGATACAACTTGTTTATGATTTTCATTTCCAATTGGAACAAAATTAACTTCAACTATACGATCATGTTCACGTAAGCCAGCAAATTCTGCTGGTGAATCAGGATCAACTTTACCAATATATTGACCTGGTCGAGATTTTTCACAATGTAAATTAAAACCATAACCAACAAAATTTGGCCATCGTCGAAGATGACATAAACGTGGTCGTGGTTCATTTGTAAGGTTACCATTAGTTGTCATTGTAAAAAAAAAGGCAAAATTTCTTATTTTATCAAATCTACAAAACAAGTCAAAAAAAAACGAATAAGACATGGAAATTTGATAGGGTAATGATTCAAACGGATTAGATTCAGACAGTTGTTTTGTCAAAAAAAAATCAGTAAATGAACATAAATAAAAATGAGTGTACTTGACGATTCAAAGATCGATCCAGATACAAATATGTGCATGCACGGATGCGGAGGCTTTGATCAAAGCAAATAAAGAATAAGAACGATTGCTCTCATTCACTATACAACGTTGATTATCAATGACGGCAAAAAGATCTGCTCTCGTTCTTATTTCTTTTTTTTCTCTCTCAATACTATTTGATTACTTGTTCTCTCGTTTTCTCTTCCTTTTTTATTATTATTATGAAGACGAAAAAACAAGACTTTATCACTTCATATACATTCGAATTACTTCTTTTCTCATAAATAAACAATTCATTTTTATAAAAATATAAGAATTGAGGAAGGCTATCTGAAGTGAAACTACTTCATTTTGTATTATGAGGCAAGCTACTGACGATCGCAATGAGTGTCTGTCTCTCGTGAACGATTACAATGCAAATATGTTCAATCGTCTATGTTGATGTTGGCACCTCCTTCTTCTCTTTTTTCTCCTCCTACTTCATGTAGGCACAAGCGAAAGCCCGTCCGGACAACATTACAAAAAAGAAAAGAACAGCACAACAATACCATGCGTCTGTATCGTTCATATATTCCTATGCATAGATAGATGAACGAGGAGAGAGGCAAACGAACAAGATGATGAAGAACGGCTGTTCTCACTTTAAAGACATATATACACCAACACAATTTCGTAGGTTATCGACGCGCCGTCGTCTCTTTTTTCATTTATTCGAACTGACCATCATTGAGAAAGATATTGAAGGATAAAAATAAAATAGAGTAGACTAGTAAAAAGGCAGCTTGTTTTTATAATGGCATGCAACATGTATGTTGTTTTTAAAAATAGAAACGAGAAGTACATCATTCATTTCTTCTCGATAAGTTATACATCTACTGAATAAAGAAGAATGAATGATGACAAAAATAACAAAATTATAAAGTACGAATACATACTTTTTAACAACGACCTCTCGTAAAATATCAGAATAAAGAACGAATAAATGTAAAAAAGATGAGAGAAAACAAAACCGAAAGGATTACCAATCCGTTGTTTTTGATAACGATACTAAAAACACAAAAACTATGTGTATCTTTCATTGTATTAATTGTTCTTATATTTTTGTTCCTCGAAACAATAACAAATAACAAAAAAAGAAAAAAAACAAAAACCGTGACATAACAATAATGAGCAGAAAAATAAAATGTCTTTAAAATATACGTATTTTATTTATTATTATTTTTTCCACGTAAGAATTTACCATAAACAGAGTTTACTTCAAATAAACTACGAATAGTTATAACTTGTATAATTGTTACAATAATCATAAGAGTTAAATTTATAGTAGACCAAAAATTAATACGATCATAATTATTTTCAACTAAAATACGATCTTGTACTTCAAAATTTTTAAATATATTTTGATATCGTTGAGCTGCTTCCATACTATCCCATATACGTTGAAATACATTCTAAAGAAAAATTTTCAATAGAATATCGTTTTGGAATTTTATATTTTAATCTATGTAAAATTTCACCTTCCTCATATTTCAATAAAATTTATTTGATAATGTCAAGAAGAAGAAAAAAAGCAGCTTAACATCCTATACATGACAATCAACCTATGATCATTGATATAACACATGAAAATGTTACATTATTTTAACAAAAATTGATTAGTATGTGTTAAGTTCGATGACAAAGAAAAAGATATTAGTCGTCATAAAATTCGATGGGGAAGTAATACCTTTGAAGATTAGACTCTACATAGGATTTTTTAAATATGTTATTTGACATTATGAATGATCATAATCAATGACAACATACTGATGAAAGTTTATTTGTTACTCAAAATTTTTATCAATGAAATACTTCTAAAATAACTTAAGTACTTTTGATAACTTATCTGCTATCATAAAAGTATCGAATTTTTATCAGTATTTTACTGCTATTCGATTAAATAACATAATACAAGAAGCAAGAACATACTTCAGGATCTATATAGATCTTAGAAAATTTTCCGTTAAATTTTAGATTGAATCAACTAAACTCATTAATTATAGACTTCGACTGCCTTTTTTTCTAGCAGAATTTTTTTTTCTTTCTTACTTTAATCTCTTGAATTTTATTTTGTAAATCTCCAAGTTCATCTTTATCCATAGAATCCATCCATGGTTCTGTTACGTCATCATTTTCAGGTACACCTTGTTTATTAAACGATCTTAAACTAAAATAAACTTGTTTTTGACTAAAACGTGAAAATGAATTATCAAAGCAAAAACGATATTCTCCTGTTTCTTCTAATTTTAATGTTTGATGACCATCATGTTTTCTAAATTGCGACTGTAGCACACGATTCGTTGGAGAATAAAACCAATAGTTTATATCCATATCACCACCGGCTAATACTTCATATTCAATTTCAATTGTTTTATCTTGTTCAAGAATTTGATGGAAACATTCTCGTTGATTAGCTGGAATGATTACAGTTAATTCAATATCAAGTCCATATAAAGGAAGAACCAAAGTAATAAGAAAGAAAAAAAATAGGTTTAAATTTAATTTATAAAACATCTAAAAATAAAAAATTTGAAAATTTCTTTCATAGAGTTCTAGTTTATATTTGATTTACTAGAAAATTGTTCTAGTACGTTATTATATATGTATTAGTTTATAGTAGAAGTGTGGATGAATCTTTTTTTTTTCTTTGTAAGAACTAGGACTTGAATCACTTTTGATCATAAAGATTCTCTAAGATTACTATCAGATTTAAGGATCGATTTTTATAAACTAACCGTTTCTAATAAATGTCATGTACTTAAACAAGAAAATAATGTGAGAGTTGTAATCAAACTTGTTAATTAAACATGTCAACACTATGTAATACTGTTCGTTCAATGAAGAGAATGATTGAATTTTTACCTGATCTCAACAAACAATTGAATCATTATTTGACAACAATTAACTAATTCTTCATATGATAAAACGAAATTATTCATTTTGTAATTTTGTTCAACACATTTCTTATCATTTAACAATAAACATTATGAGAAAAACTTCCGAACAAAAGAAAGAAAACTTCATCCATAAATGACGATTGTTTTATCAGATAATAAACGTTCAATATTTTCATTTTAATTGCAATTGTTTTATTTTAATTCTATGTTATGCTGAATGATAATGTAAATATGTTAAAATATAGACACAAACCAAAGTAGAATACACGGCTAAAACAGCAATGACAGATTTTCTCAAAGAAAAAGCGGAACTTCCATATTTAACCGATAGTGAAGCTGTGGACGTGTCAGTTCCTATAAAATAGATAGCGTTAGTTGTAACATTCACAAGCCAGTCATTTCGTTTGAAATGCCATTTTGTTGTTATTCTTGATAACTATTGTGTTTTCAACACAATGTCATTGTTTTGAATCCGTTGCAATAAAAAATTCTTTTTTATTTCACGTTGTTTATTTACGGTTGATTTTATTAATTCTGAATGCTGGGAATAAAATTAATAAAACACTTGTTTATCAGTGATTGTCTAATTGACATGTGAAAAGATTGATGATAAGAACACAATTCAATTTTCTATAAAACTCCAGGGGAAAGGGGAGAATGATTTTGGCTTTCTATCCATTTAAAACATGTTGTCTTATTCGGCTGACTCTCTGAGAATTTATCTTTGCTGATTGTTCATTTGTCGTCCTAATATCTTGGACTAATATTTCTAATTCTTAATTGCTTGCTAATAAATTTATGATTGATTGCATTAGACGAGGACAATTTCAATATATTATGATCAAACCATGAAGTAAAAATGACATGAATTCAACTTGACAAATACATTAAATGCTTGTTTTTTGTCAAGTGTATTTATTGATAAATGTCCTATGAGATTAAACGGTTATGAAGACTAATAGTAACATCCGTCTCAAGGGAAACCTGGTGCTATCATTTCATTTTTTTCCAATACAAGTTTTCAAACGTCCAATATTTTAGGTATAACTATCTCGAGAAAAAAAAAACTCAACGCTATCAGCACGTGATAAAAACTTTGTTTTTACTTTATCTACATGATAAATAAGTCAATTTATTTCAATGAAATAGTGCTCACTCGTATCCAATCAAGAAGCGAGAAAGAAAACAGCATAGACTTTTTAACTTATTATAATCATGAGCATCATACATAAAGCTAAAAAATAACTAAACGTGAGATATTTTAAGAATAAAACAGAATGAGACCATTGAAGAGCACGTTCAGTGAATACTAAGAAAAAAAGCACAGATCACATTACGAACTGTAAATGATCTTGCATTTATCTTTAAAAGCTTTTAAACAAAACAAAAAAATAAAGTATATTATTTGTGAAAAAAAATAGTAATGCCAACTAATCAAGGGTCTATGTCTATCGAACGATCACGTTGTTTTTACTGTGTATCAATAAAGTATTCTTAAAATTTATTTACCGATTCTTGTATCATTAATGATTGGCATAATGATACTTATTATGGCAATATAAAAAGCAAAATAAACAGGGTAATAAATATCGTTTAAATGATCTTCAAATAGCAAAAGATTAATATAACAAAGAAAAATTTGATGAACTTCATCAAAAATAAGATCAAATTTTAGAAAATGCTCGTCGTAAACAAGATCATCTATTAAATTAATCAATAACGTCAATAAGATTTACAAATTGCACAATCAAGACAATTACATTTCATGTTTAGTACATATCTTAATGACAGGTCTCAATTATTAATCAAATATCACTTTGCATTAAGTAGAAAACTACTTCAAACAGTAGTTGCATTAAAAGCATTAATAATATTTCGATAACATAGTCTAAA